GACCGAGGAGTGGGGGATTGTGGGGAGAACGAGGGGACAGGGTAAGGAGGAATGGTAGGGAGGACGAAAGGATGGGAGAGAGAGAGATGGAGGGGAGGACGAGGGGATGGTGGAGTGGCAGACGGACAAAGGGACGGGGGAGGGGGGAATGGTTGGAAGGACGAGGGGACGGAGGAGGGGGCAATAGGAGGGAAGATTGAGAGACAGGTGAGTGAGGAATGGTGGGGAGGACGAGGGGACGGTGTAGTGGAGGATGGTGGGGAGGACAAAGGGACGGGCAAGGGGGGGACTGGTGGGGAGGGCGAGGGGAACAGGGGAGGGGGGGAATGGTGGGGGATGACAGGCAGACAGGGAAAGATTGTTGTGGCTGAGCTACGCACATGCGTTGCTGAGCCATAGCAACGTGTGGCCGGGTACAGCTAGTAATAATAATAATAATAAACTCTTATGCTGATAGACTTTGGAAATATATATTTCAAGTTGCTGTAGTGCCAGTCAGAAATACTTCAATGTAATCCAAGAAATGCAAGTGCTTGTAATGTTTCTTCAGCTGCTATTCTAACATCCGGGTTACAGCTCTGCTTCTGTGCCAGGTTAGTCCATTACTGGCTCACCATAGCCCGTGCTACTTGGAACTTTTTGTTCCGAGTAGCTGAATCTAAAACCACAACACAACTTGCTATTCTAAATGTGTTTTTTTTCAGCAAAAGAGTTTTCCTTTCCAAGCAAAAGCACCAGTTGAGTCAGAGCCTGACAGATTATGAAAGCAGGCACTACAGAAGTCTTAATGGTGCTTAGAGATGAGGATATTTATGGGGGGAAGGGAACTATCGGGGGAAAACGCCAAACAATTTCTACTATATTGCACATGAAAGGGACCAGGATAAGAATTTGGGATGGGAGAGACCATCTGCCACCTTTTGTGTAAGAAATGTTCTCTGGGACCCCTGGTCAAACACCCCTTAGGAAAACCTAAATATGTGTGAATTCCATTTCAATGTTTCCATTTTTATTGATAAATTGAATTTTCATAGATTTCGAATTATTTTCATATTGTTTTAATTATTTTTTGTAACATTGTGTTGGAATTGAGCTTTGTTGTTTACTATACCTTTCATTTCGTGAAGATATTTTATTTGTTATTTTTTTCATTGTTTTTCATTTTGTTTTTTAATTGTTTATCTTATATATCAGTGATGGTAACATCAGATCATTTGATGTTCCCAATTTTCTGATGAGAGCATCAGATCATTTGGGAACATCTAAAGTTCAGCTCTGATGAGAACATCAGATCATCTAAAGTTTCCCACAAGTAGCTTCCTACACAAGTTCGGGTGGTGTATTAATAATTGTTTAATTGAAATTATTTAATTGAGTCAAATTTGTTGGTAATTATTAATCTGCAAGGATTAGTGTTAAAAATTGTTTAGTAGTTTACCTATTTTGCAGAATGTGGTCCGGTTAATGAACAATTTACACTTCTACGTCGCATAAACTGAATCTCTGGTGGACCAGTCTATAATAACGTCGCAGCATGCATCTCGTTGAGCAAGGTAATTTGTTGTAATCCTTCTTTCCCTTCAATTTCACCTGTTAAAAGGAAACAGTAATAAATCGTAACAAATATACGACGGCTTGTTGACCAGACCACACACTAGAAGGTGAAGGGACGACGACGTTTCGGTCCGTCCTGGACCATTCTCCATCGACTTGAGAATGGTCCAGGACGGACCGAAACGTCGTCGTCCCTTCACCTTCTAGTGTGTGGTCTGGTCAACATACTTTAGACACGTTATTGTGACTCATCGCCTGTACATGACGGCTTTATCAGGGAAAATAATTGTTCTAGTTAATAAGTTAAGGCTTACCCGTTCTGGGTGACTTGTCCAGCATCCTAACCACTTGACATAACATACGGATATGACCATGTAAGTACAATAATAACAGTCAAATGGATATAAAACACTTCCCTATTTGCTAATGAAGACGTGCTGATCATAGGAGATTTGGCGTCCTACAACAGTTAAACTAGAGGGAAATATTCGTGGAGCCTTGCGAGCATGCTCGCAGGCAAGATTTCGTTATTGTTAATAATGGTATTTCCTCCCTAATTGATCAAGCAATGTATCAAGAAATCAGTTCATTTTGTCCCCATTTAGAGACAAACGGACAGAGGAGCTCATTTAATTTATAATTTAATTATCTCCAGTCGAGGGGACAGCCCCTCCTCCGATTAGACAGTACGTTTTAATACTAAATGTAATAAGTACAATCCTAACTATCGGCATAATACATAAATACACTTAATGGCCAGGGGCCAGATTCACAAAGCAGTTACGCAAGTACTTTACGAAAGTGTACATCTTTCCTCAATATTTGACGGCTTTGTTTACATTTATTAAACAGTTTACAAGCATGAAAACTTCCCAATCAACTGTTGTTACTGTTATGAACAGCCTCCTGGTGCTTCGGAGCTCATTAACTGTTTAATAATTGTAAACAAAACCACAAAAGATTGAGAAAAGATGTACAGGTTTGTAAGTGCTTGCGTAACTGCTTCGTGAGTCTGGCCCCAGCATCGCACCAAAATATTGTGAATATTAGAGTTTACCTAAAAAGCTGTATAGAAAACCACGACCTAACCTAACCTTGGGAGTGTAGGAGGACAAGCATGTAAATAGCATTTATTGCTTCTTAATTACAATTAGTACTTAACCTATAGCTTTATTGATATTACAGTTTTATAAAACTAATAAAACAAAACTAAAGTCTTTCAATAAATTATAAAGTAACTCCGGATATTTTCAAATTTTGTATAAAATCTATTGTTTAATAAAATTGAAAAAAAATCTTTATATTTAAAACTTATGTATATAAAGTTACGCACGAAAACTTCCACCTTAAATTTTGAGTGTATTAACCAACGCATCCTTCGAATAGACAGTAGGTTTTAATACTATATGTAATAAGTACATTTCCTGACTGTCCTGCATAGTACATAATTTCACTTATTATACTGTTAAATTTACCTCACCATATATTCTCCTCATTTTCTGTTAATTCACTCAAATTTTTATGTTGAGGTTTTCGTGTTCAATTATATATATACACAACTATTATATATATAAAAAAAATATTTTTCAGTTTTATTAAACAATAATGATTATATAAATTTTGAAAATATCCTGAGTTACTTTATAGTTTATTGAAAGATTTTAGTTTTGTTTTATTAGCTTTATTAAACTGTAATATCAATATAGCTATAGGTTAAGTACTACCTGTAATTAAGAAGCAATAAAATGCTTGTCCTCTTACACTAAGAAGGTTAGGTAAGGTCGTGGTTTTCTATTCATCTTTTCAGGTAAACTCTAATATTCACAATATTTTGGTGCGATGCTGGCCATTAAGTGTATTGATTACATTTAGTACTAAATCGTACTGTCTATTCGGAGGAAGGGTTGCGAGGGGAACACTTTTTTATTGTTTCTAGTGTCCAGACTGGTGATTTAAGGTTTATTTAATGTTGGTATTATGAATAAATTTAATCTGGGGACGTGTCAATAACTCTCATTTTTTTAAGAGAAGTCACAAACTGGAATTTCTTTACATGATAAACCTAGATAATTATGATTAGTAATAACTTGGTATCAGAATTTTCTACAATTGCCCTATGATGATGAAATAGGCCTTAGATGTTTTTAGAATGCCTTACTGGAATCTGTGTTCCTAGTAATTTTAGTTTATGATCTGGATGAATCGAGTCAAGTTAGATAAAAGAAACTACAGGATTGAATCTAAGGCTGTATTCAGCTCAGCCCTCTATCTTTAACATTTTCTCTAACTTTTCTCCATGGCAATATTTCTCCAAGAAAATCTACTGAGCTTCTCATTACAGTCCAGTATTACTCACAGTACAGTGTCTATTGATCTTCTTCTAGTTCTAACAGGTACACTACTGATCTGCTGTCACCAGCTAATATTATTCACAGAAATTTTCTCTGTTTACACTGGATCGTTAGAGTTCACTTAAAAGTTTAAATTCTAATATTTCTTGCGAAATATTCCGATGTCATGATGTGACGTGTTCGGTGACGTGTTTAGTGGCGTGTTTGGTGACATGTTTGGTGACGTGTCTGGTGGCGTGGTTGATGACCATATGAACAAATCCATAAAGGCCGTGACGAGGGTTCGAATCTACGTCCGAGAGGATCCCAGACGCTGCCTTAATCGACTGAGCTACGACAACGCATCCTCTCGCATTGCGCATCCCAGGCATCGTATGGGATTCTCTCGGACGTAGGTCGTATATCGTCACGGCCCTTGTGGATTTGTTCATTTGATGCATCACGCTATCGTGATTTTCTGTGTGTAGTGGTTGATGACGTATTTGGTGACATATTTGGTGACATATTTGGTGACATGTTTGGTGACGTGTTTCCCTGTAAAAGATGCATCGTTGAAAGTCAATGATGTGAAAAATGTAATAACAATCCTCTGAATTTCATATCCGTAACACTATGTAACAATTTTTTGTCTGTGGATATTAAGTGCCATTTTTCACCCTTTAAGACATCTTCCCAGAGATGTCCAAAGCAAAGGCGAAAGAAATTCTCGGGGGGAATAATAGCTATTTTCCACAATTTGAAGACATTAGCAATTAGAAAATAACATTTACTACCTACGGACGAAGAACAATAATTTCGTACATTGTGTAATAATTCAGAGCATTATGTAATATATATATAATTCTGTTTTATCATATCCTGTGAAAAAATACATTAAAAAATTTCAATCAAAACCAATAAAAAACTTGAAAAGAAATAATGAGTTTCAGTTGAACAAACATTAAATAACTCTTGCATGATCAATGTGTTGACTACTCCATCATGGAGGAGTCCAAAGTTTGTAAACATGTAGAGCGCAAGTCCTTGAGGGTAATATGCTGTAGAGCCTTTATAACCGGAGATTGATCCTTCCCAAGTCATCTGGAGTTCACCTCAGCAGTTCTTAGCATCGTCGTCCACCCCAGCTGAACTTTTCATCATGGTGAGTTGCAAAGACTTATGTTCCTTTATTCAAATTAAGTTCATAACACGTTTTAATTCTGAAAAATGGGAAGAAGCACAAAGTTTAACAAAATGCACTTATTGTTATATATATTCAATTAACAATCGCAAATAGCATTGGATGTTTACATTACTGAATTTTTTAACCTTCTTCCTGACATGGGGAAACAATGACTTTGTGTGAGGAAGGTTTAGGTGTCTGTTCGAGTGTAGAAATAAGGTAGGATTTCCTTTTGTTAAGTTATTTGAAGAGAAGGATGGGCTTTAAATATAACATAATCAAAAATTTCTTCTCATAAAACCCACTAAAAAACTTAACTATGTTCTTAAAAATAATAGTACAAATATTTACTTTACTCATATATTTGATACATATATTTATTACATGTATTTAATACATCGTGTGATCGCAGCTGAGTGCAGTGTTCCTGGTAGTCAGTGTCTCCACACTGGCAACTTGTGTTCCATATTATCATCGGGACCCATATTACAATCTACATCCTCTCTACTATCAACACCCGTACTTCAACCCATACCCGGACTACCCTTACTACCACCATGCTGGTCAGTTTTTGCATTTAATACATGAGTGAATTTCTGTACCAATTATAGTGTGCCAATCATGAATACTTGATTGGTGCAAATTACCAATCATGAATACATAATTGGTACACATTCCCAATCCTTTGGGCGGTTGCTCATATGTTTCATCAGTATTAAGAAAAAAAAATATTTGGCACACATGCGATGAGCTGTTGCTTGGGGATTAATTGATTTTTTGCTTAAAATTATTTACATAAAATTTCATGAGTTAAGTGTAATATACTTTTTATTAGTTCGTTTATAACGCGTCATATACATATACGGTTTCTCGTAAATGTACATCATGTGTAGTAAATATATTACCTTTTACAAGCATAATATATATATATATATATATATATATATATATATATATATATATATATATATATATATATATATATATATATATATATATATATATATATATATATTTTAATACTGTTGTGTGCAGACAGATATGCCAAGTTGCTGCAAACAAAATGTATTCATTATGGCTATTGGACCAGATGATTTGTACCGACAATGCCTAGTTGAATAGATATGGCAAATAATAATGACATCATTCTACATAATGACAATAGTAAAAATTGTAATTGGTCTCCTAATTTTGCAGGGTTGCGAGCTCCCCTGCCAGCCGTGTCTCCCCTGCCAGCCGTGCCTTCCCTGCCAGCCGTGCCTTCCCTGCCAGCCGTGCCTTCCCTACCAGCCCTGTCTTCCCTACCAGCCCTGTCTCCCCTGTCAGCCCTGTCTTCCCTACCAGCCCTGTCTCCCCTGCCAGCCCTTTCTTCCCTGCCATTTGCGTCTCACCTGCCATTTGTGTCTCCCCTGCCAGCGGTGTCTCCCCTGCCAGCCGTGTCTCCCCTGCCAGCCGTGTCTCCCCTGCTAACCGTGTCTCCCCTGTCAGCCCTGTCTCCCCTGCCAGCCCTGTCTCCCCTGCCAGCCCTGTCTCCCCTGCCAGCCGTGTCTCCCTTGCCAGCCCTGTCTCCCCTGCCAGCCGTGTCTCCCCTGCCAGCCCTGTCTCGCCAGGCGGTCGGTGTAAACTACGGCAGCAGGATGTATCAAGACACTCCATATTCATTTGGACCAAGTAGAAGTTCCGGTAAGTAGTGAGTATAAATATTCTGGGGTTGGTGAAGGTTAGAATATGTACAGCAATACTTTAATTTCTCTGAGGCACCAATGACTTGCTAATCCTAGAATTAACAAACCAGCTTCAATTCAAATTCAATTTCTTTCTTTATTATGCACTCCATCTAATTGTGAATATATTGATATTCTGCGACTTATCATTTTCCAATATTTAAAATCATGAAACTGATCAAATTATAATTACAAGCACACTGGCTTATGAGAAGAAACTCTCTAGAGGAAACTTTTGCAAGAGTTTTCAAAAATATTTGAAAGATGAACTTAGTAGTTGATGTCTGATCTTGTAAGCACATGCCGTTGAACAAATGTAGGAGATTTCTGAGGAACTTTGCAATAAAACGAACCTAAGGATTATCGCAATAGCTTATTACAAAAATATTATAGTGGTGGTTGCAAGCAAACTCATAGCAAATATCACATGAACAGGACACGCAGAAAATAGTGACAAAGAAACAAGGTAACTACAAGAATAATGTAGTAAATGGGAGATGTAAATATTAGAATGTGAGCAAAGATCCCTGTTTTAGGTAATTAAAAGACAAGAAACTGATTGATAAATATAAAACTCAATATATCAAATTTTTTGCAAAGATGAGATACTATAAAATAATAATAAAGGACTTGGCTAGAATTCAGTGGGAACGATGACAAGGAATTCATGTCATTGCAGAATAATATAAAACGCAAGAAACATAAGTAGTCAAAGGCTGCAGGGATTAATATTCTTAAATAAAGAGATTGAGAGCCAAGGCAGGAGAACACCCCATATTTCAATAGGCGAAGCAAGAACTCTAATGCAATAAATAAGAAAGAACGGAAAGTACATGGAAAAAATAGAATAGATAGAAACAATAACAAACATAATGAAAGTGGGACCATAAGAATAATTCCCGAGGAACATAATTAGAACGACATATTCTCCAACGTTAAGAAACAACCAAGATTCCTACCCAACTACATACGGAAAATAAGACAAATAACTCTAAGAAGAGGCACAACAGGAATTAAATTCATGATTCTAAGGGGTCATCAGTATGGAGTCGGAGACACTACCTGACATGGGAGGGAAACCTCCTTCGGAAAGTTACTGATCATTATTATTATGACTGGCTGAGAGATAAGAATTTAACGAAACAACTGCTGTATGACCCGAGGGAAAATCGTTATGGATACTAAAGTTAGTTTCTGAAATACTGTACAAAACATAAAGATCTCCACTGCTTCACATGAGACAATAGTGGTACCTAGTACCTAAAAAGAATCATATGTCATACCAATATAAGACCAAAAAATATACTTAGATTCAGAATCTTTAAATTTAAATTTAATGAATTAATTGAAACTACGTCGATTCTGGGAAGATTGAATCGGGTCCAGCATTTAAAAATTAATTGCATCCGTCATTGGATTTGTCTGTTAACTCATATATTGCCAAAATTTTGCAAACATACTGAATGATAAGACAGTTAAATTAATATAACTTGGGTTAATAATAGTTTTCAGAGCCCATGCATTACAAAGAATATATATCATAAATATAACAGCAAAAGGTAAATTTGGAAATAAATTTTACTCTATCGGAAAATTCAGAGACTACTCTAAATATATTTATGATGTAGACCGTACAGTCATAAAAATATTAGTGTTCAGCAAATTAATGTTTGGTTCAATATATACCATGAAATTAAACAGCTGTGTTAACGAGTTATTTAACTACAAACCAGTATCCAAGAGTGAATAATAATGAAGAAAATATTATTATTCAAATCCTTTTATATAAAAAGAGAGCTTACAGAATGTTGACTGTTTTTTAATGAGATGATAAGACAAAAAAATGAGAAATAAAAAGTGAAAACTGAATTGCATATCAGTCTTATCATCTAGTATCCCTTTTAGGTTACTAGAGAGAGTGAATCGAAGCACTCTCACGTTATAATTATTATTAAACAAGTTGTTGGAAATCACGTGAGACATTTTATGTTCAGCCGACTGCATCGTCCTCAACTAAAAGACATAATGATATTGGAAATAGTATATACTAATGTGAATAATACAATTAATGGGAAGAATTATAATTAATGGGAAAATACAAAAATGAATGGGATAAATATAAAATAATGAGATAAATTCAAGCAGAAGATGGCAGAGTGACCTCGAAACTTAATAAAATCTTCCTAGCATAATATTTTGATAATTGGCTTTGAAGACTACGACTCCAAAAATAAATGAAATAAACAGCATTTAAACTGTTCCAATTCCACTCAGATTTGATTTATAGGACTTGGTTTTTCGAAAAATAGTTTAAAATGTTATTGCGAGGAATGCATAAAATTTTGAAGGAATTATTAGTTCAACACACTCTATATAGTATATGTATAGCTCTTGTATAACTTCAAATCTTTCTGAATCATTCATGTAAGTTATAAATAAAACTCAATCCTAGTAGCACATTAATGAATACGTTATGTTGTGGAGTATCTAAAACATATAGACTGTCAAAATGATTTGTTAATCAGCTATTTTCCTTGCGAAAAGGCTACTGTGTGAGTTGCTTTTGTTCTTAAAAGGTGTGGAACTCCTACTTCAAAGGCAAAAATAAATATATAGCTATGATAAATTTAGTTGGAGGTGTACTATAATGATAACTGCTGATGTTGGGTTAAGTCTTCTCTCAGATGTAACTAGAAAAAATATTGATGGAGTGTCATATATAGGACGATTAAATATATTTTGTGTAGAAAAATACGCATTCAATGAAGTGATAATTACTTATCAAATATTTCATAAATTACAATGGTAATTAATATCACTAGTTATATATAAATGATTGAGAAATGTTAAGCAAGAAAATGTTCTCTGGTTCATATATATTTAGGATATAGTTTTTTTTTCCTTTTTGATTGATACAAATATTTACCTTACTATTGGTTTGACTATATTGGGATATTGTCATATATTGTGATAACTAGTAACTTAATATTTTGCACATAATTTTAGTAGCTTTTATTGTTAAAAACAAAGGCGTTAAAGATTGTAAACTATGTCATCCGCAGAACTAGAATGGAATATTCAAGATTACGACGATGAAGTCCCAGGCTTTAGGTTTTATTGATATCCCGGGCATGAACGTCAATTGACAAGGCTAAGATGTCAACTCCAGTAGGTCCACATGCTTTCTGTTTAAATTAAGTATGAAATACAACAACAATATTTTTTCCACCATAACTTCTCTGTTAAGCACCAAACCCATTACAGGCCTAAGAAATCTTTAAAATATTATTTTGCTGACAAATGGTAATTCAGAAATATTATTTCTTATTCAAACTTAAACAATAATTTATAGTGAAGATTGACTATTAAACATACATAGTACTTGTACATAGTATTAAGATGTTAATATATTTTTGGGATATTAACCTGTTAATATCTGGGATATTATTAACATGTAAATGATTAACAGTTAATAATCATTAACTCCCCCCTCTGATAATGAGGGGGAAAAAATGCATTTGATAGTCACTATTGTAAATCATCTCTAATGTTTATCTTATAGTATCAAATTTCATTTAATATTTCCCCTTGCAGACCTCCATAGTCAGGAGTCGTTGGTGAACATATTGGTGTCATCATCATAACTGTCCCTGTTTTAACGGAACAAATCAGTTGGCCAACCTCAGGTTTGTAAAACGATGGGATTTTCGACAATAAATATACACCAATAGCTCAGTTTTATTTATGTTCCTAATTTATGGCAGAATAATAATGTTAGTTCGTGTTAAAAATAATCACGATTGTCTAATACCTGTACATAAATTAATAAATTAGAATCAATCAAGCGATTTGAATTGAAAATACATTTTATAGTTGTTGGCCCCTGATCGAGCCTGTTCATAACATCGAACTAATATTTGTATTCATATTCCAGTCATACAAATATATTTTTAATGCAAGATGCTCCTTGATATTCAAAGGATTTACTAATCAGTATACTGTAGACCTTATACTTATCCTGACAAAATACACAAACACACACGTAGTGAGACAACAATAGTGGCGGAGTTTTCTCTTAATGTGACCAATCAGCGAATGTCCAATGTGTTGACAACTGCATTTGATAGTCTCTGTACAGATGAGAAGCTGGATAAGTAGAAAGAACGAATAAGAAAAGTTAAGAGAAACAAATACTAGTCTGAAAAATAAAATTTGAAAAGTGGGACAGAGTCAAATAATACAAAACTATAACAGCATCCCACAGGTAAGAACAGCTTGCTTACAATCAATCCTCAGATTCTCGAACGTATTTTTTGTATTTGCAAGCTATTGGCAACGTAACCTCTCGCACATGTTTCATATGGTATTTAAGGTTGTTTTAAATCAAAGATACTGATTTTCATGTGCGTCAAAATTTATAAATGTTTGTCATAGAATAGAAAGATTATTAAAGTGTGCCTGAATGAGACTCATTTTGGATTTCTCCCTATATCCCACTCTTCCTCTCCTTCCCTCTTCTTTTTCTCTCTCTCTCTCTCTCTCTCTCTCTCTCTCTCTCTCTCTCTCTCTCTCTCTCTCTCTCTCTCTCTCTCTCTCTCTCTCTCTCTCTCTCTCTCTCTCTCTCTCTCTCTCTCTCTCTCTCTCTCTCTCTCTCTCTCTCTCTCTCTCTCTCTCTCTCTCTCTCTCTCTCTCTCTCTCTCTCTCTCTCTCTCTCTCTCTCTCTCTCTCTCTCTCTCTCTCTCTCTCTCTCTCTCTCTCTCTCTCTCTCTCTCTCTCTCTCTCTCTCTCTCTCTCTCTCTCTCTCTCTCTCTCTCTCTCTCTCTCATGTACAAATCTAACTTTCGCTTTAAACCACCAATCGATCCTACGTTTATTAGAATTCAAGAACAAATGAAACTGCAAAAGGACTATAAGACCATACGGAGTAGCTCCAGTTTATGTCCACACCAACTTGTTCACATACATATCTAACTTATACTTTAAGCAATCGTGTGGTCTTATGTCTGTTAAATACATATAAATCTTACATTTTCATTCTACTCGAACAATTTTGAATTCAACGTCCCTAGTCCCCCTTACGTTATCTGTTCGAAATAACAACCCCTGTTTCCAAACTCAGGATTTTACTAGATCAAAATTTATCTTAATAATATAGATTTTTTCGAATTCGACTTTTTGTTGACATATTTAAAACATTGTTTCAAAGGGAGAGAGTAAAATTTAAAATATATTATTAAAGAAGTAATCAAATATGTACCACATTTAGAAAATATTTGGTTAACATTATAAAAATAATAATAATAATCTAAAAATACGAAAATTGTACAGACAAAATAAAATACAGACCACCAAACTTCGACAGAATGGAAGCAAAACATGTATGGGATCAAAAAAAAAATCTAGAGCATCTTGGTCAAAGAGTGTTTGTTATGAATGAGCCTAGATTTAGTGAAATAAACTGAATTAACAAAACTGGGAATACCAACGCAGATTTTTTTTTATAAATAAATGATTAATTCTTCCTAGAGCAACATATTAAGGAGTCAACACAGGAAAATAATATTCTTGACACAGTGCTAACAAACAGGGAGCAACACGTAAATGACATCGAGAAAGAGGGTGAGCTACGAAACAGTCATCAAAGTAAATGAGAATTAACATAATATAGAACCGATGTACAAATTTTGTTGTTGCAGTACCAGATTTACGAAAAGCTGATTTTATTGGACTAAGATTTCTTGGGACGGCTAGACAGAAGAGGGAAACATTGGAGGTGGGCCGAGTAGCGCAGAATACATCACTGTTGTAACTAATTAGGTTCAGTATTTCATTAATTCACAGTATAGCAATATATTGTTACATTATATCATTACCAGTTATATATATATATATATATATATATATATATATATATATATATATATATATATATATATATATATATATATATATACAACTTCAGAACATGTTGACCAGATCACACACTAGAAATTGAAGGGACGACGACGTTTCGGTCCGTCCTGGACCATTCTCAAGTCGATTGTGTCGACAATTTTGGAGAATTGATTTTTCAATTACCATCGACAGTGAAAAGAAACATAAGAAATATTGACAAAATTCGTGTTAGAATTATTAATCTTACTTTTCGGTCATATTTAATAATATATGTCTACAGGAAAGACTGCTACCAAAATACACTATTATATATATATATATATTCTAATGTCGACACAATCGACTTGAGAATGGTCCAGGATGGACCGAAACGTCGTCGTCCCTTCAATTTCTAGTGTGTGGTCTGGTCAACATACTTCAGCCACGTTATTGTGACTCATCGCCTGCAAACTTCAGAACACTTTCCCACCAGGAGACTCGAACCCTAGCCAGCACAGAAGCCTTCCAGCAACTGGCTTAACAGGTACGCCTTAACCCACTCCACCACCTGCTCAGACCCCTAAAAGAGATGGTAATTTCGGAGTATTTATAAATACTACTAAATATACTACTAATAATATAATAATATAATATATAAATATAATACTAATAAATATATATATATATATATATATATATATTTATATATAATATATATACATATATATATATATATATATATATATATATATATATATATATATATATATATATATATATATATATATATAATAGTGTATTTTGGTAGCAGTCTTTCCTGTAGACATATATTATTAAATATGACCGAAAAAGTAAGATTAATAATTCTAACACGAATTTTGTCAATATTTCTTATGTTTCTTTTCACTGTCGATGGTAATTGAAAAATCAATTCTCCAAAATTCATTTTTATTTCAATGAATAAAAGTAAAAATGAATTTTGGAGAATTGATTTTTCAATTACCATCGACAGTAAAAAGACACATAAGAAATATTGAGAAAATTCGTGTTAGAATTATTAATCTTACTTTTTCGGTCATATATAATATATATATATATATATATATATATATATATATATATATATATATATATATATATATATATATATATATATATATATATGCTGTACTGTGATGTACATAAGTACATGTGTATATAAGTATGCTGTACTTAATTAATTAAAATAATTGACCGAGAAATTAGATTAATAACTGCAAAGCTTAGAACTTTAAAATATCATGAATTGTTGAGAAAAAAATTTAATATCCATACTGCTCTATTATCTCGGCCCACGTGAAAAGACATTACAAAATGTAAATCAGGGCCAGAATATAACTAACAGAAACAATGAGTTTGAGTATTATGAGCTTTAGATAACTTCTGCACGATCTCTTTGTTGCCATATTGGTCACGGAGTCCATGTGTTTTCATACATCTAAAACGCGCGTCCTTGACATTAACTCATTTCTGAGCCAATATAACTGGCGTCTGATCCTTTACAAGTCAAGTAGTGCTTCCACGCCTGTTCTTATCATCATCGTCCACTCGAGCTGAACTTTTTATCATGGTAAGCTGCAAAATTTTAAATATTCCTATTCACAACTTCTGAATAGATAGCTTTAGATAACTTCTGCACGATCTCTTTGTTGCCATATTGGTCACGGAGTCCATGTGTTTTCATACATCTAAAACGCGAGTCCTTGACATTAACTCATTTCTGAGCCAATATAACTGGCGTCTGATCCTTTACAAGTCAAGTAGTGCTTCCACGCCTGTTCTTATCATCATCGTCCACTCGAGCTGAACTTTTTATCATGGTAAGCTGCAAAATTTTAAATATTCCTATTCAAATAAATGTATATACCAGAATAATTGAAAAAAAAATTGTTCTTCATAGGAAAAAGAAAATATGTTTATTAAATTAACGTAATAATGAATATTCTACTAGCAGAGGCAAAGCGCGACGGACGTAAATTATAATCAAATTATTGTCTGGTTATGTTCATTCCGGTATTAGAAAAGAATGTATATGTATGAGTGCGTGTACTAAAATAGGGCAAGAATTGTTTAGATGACGTAACGAATACAGATAGTATGCTGTTGGGCATCAGACTCATCATCCGCACGAATCATTAAGGTCACCGAAATTCCTCACTCACAAACATCTAATAATACTTTATTCTTGCCCAGGAAAATATTAACTCTCAATATACATTATATATATATATATATATATATATATATATATATATATATATATATATATATATATATATATATATATATATATATATATATATATATATATATATATATTGGTGTATACTGGCAGCAGGTTTTCTTTCAAACATGTTTCATTGAATATGACCGCATATTCTGTATTTATTATTTTCTGGTTTAGGGCTTCTATCCCTCTAACTATTTTCTTAGCATCAGGGCTTAATTGAAATAGGAGTTCTCCAAAACTCATTTTCGTACTTTTAAGGTGAAGAAAAGAAGTGATTTACTATAGAGTGTATTACACTTATTTGTATAATTTGCACGACGTTTCGAACCTCCATGGTTCATTCTCAAGTGAACAGACCTTACAATACTAGTTGATTTTATACCCGCATTAGGTCAGGTGATAATACAATGAAGGTGAAAACATGGGGGGATACATAAGGGATAAATGTGAGGTGAAACATAGAGGCTGCAGAAGGCTTATTGGCCCATACGAGGCCAATATCTCCTATCTAAACACAAAGATTAATCCAGTGTAATTGGCCTGTTATGTTGGACATTGTCTTCTGTGTTGGCATCGATATGTTCTTG